ATCTTTAAGTATTTCATATATTTTTTGTTCAGGTATTTTATACTCAATATATGGTACTAAATTTACCACAAAAAAGTCGATGCAAATTGTTACCTCAGATTTATTAGGTAAATTCTATAGCTTACTTTTTTCAGTGCAGTTTGGTCGTCGAGTCACAACAACCTCGTTGGAAACTGTATTAATTAGATATGAAAAGTTGAAAAAAATTAAAATAAATTTTAATACCTTATGGGTTTCAACAAAATGTAAACAATAACCAATAGCTGCATTAAAAAAAACAAGAAAAACAAAAAAACCTTTGAACTTACAGGTTACTGTGATGTTGACCTCGTCACTTACAACACTGTGAAAGGTTGTATTTCCTCTCACTCCCACACATCGGTAGATTCCCCCTTGTTTTACATTAATATCTCTGTTTTCTTCATCAGTGAGTTGAACTTCAGGTGTGTCTGATGTCCGTCTCCACCATCTGTATTTCCATCCAGCAGAGGGCTCCACTGAGCAGTTCAGTGTCACACTGCCCCCTACTGGTATGGTTGTTGGACCTGCTGTCAGTTTGGCTCTGGGTTGAGCTGATGTTAATGAAATAAATACGTTATGATGTAATCAAGCTGACTGTAAATACCTAAAGATCTCATCATATGACAAACCTCAGTAATTGAGTTTCCCTCATAGGAATAGTGAATGAGGTTCATATTTGGACTTGTAACACTTAAATGTGAATTTTAATTAAAAAAATATTTTTGAAAGAAACAAAACATGGGTTATATATCCATCAACTATTTGCTACTTGTATTTTGTGTATTTGTGATTTTATGTGAACATTATTGACTTAAACCATTTTCTTAAAAAAGTGCAGTGTAGTGAAAAAGTTAATTTATATGCATCTACTGATTGCTTTAAATATAAATATATTCACTTATATACTTATATTCAGTGGAAAAAATTTAACAAAATGTTCAAAGTATTACTTGAAGAAATATATTTTCACTTGAGATGATTAAAGTGCACAGGCACAATTCAATCAAGAATAAATATTGTTTTTTTGTCATTAATAAAAATTGTACATACACTGTTGATGATTAAAGGACATAGTCTCATGATCCCAAGTCAGAAACAAGTAAGACGTGTTAATCAGCACCATTGACTTATTACTTGGCTGGAATATTTATCAGAATCAGTAAACTACAACTTGCAAGATTACAAAAACAGATTTCCAATGTTCTACACCAACACATAAATTATTAGTAACCTTTTGACTCTGCATGATTTGGTTGTTTTTGGGCTGGCCTCAATGACAGAAAGCCTGACTCACCTGACACAGACACTGGGACCTTTTCACTCCACTTTGTCACAGAACGCCAGTCGTCTCTGCGTCTACACTGACACATGTAGTCTCCACTGCTGGACTCAGAAACACTGACAGTCCAGACTTTATCATTTCTTCTGGCTACAGTTGTCCGATCTCTCCTCCATTCACATGTCCACTCAGTGGTTTCTCCTCCCTGGACCTCACATGTCAGAGTGATCGTCTCACCACTGAAGATCTGAGGCCAGTTTGGTCGTCGAGTCACAACAACCTCGTTGGAAACTGTATTAATTAGATATGAAAAGTTGGAAAAAATTAAAATAAATTTTAATACCTTATGGGTTTCAACAAAATGTAAACAATAACCAATAGCTGCATTAAAAAAAACATTTGAACTTACAGGTTATTGTGATGATGACATCGTCACTTACAAGACTTTGAAAGTTTGTATTTCCTCTCTCTCCCACACATCGGTAGATTCCCCCTTGTTTTACATTAATATCTCTGTTTTCATCAGTGAGTTGAACTTCAGGTGTGTCTGATGTCCGTCTCCACCATCTGTATTTCCATCCAGCAGAGGGCTCCACTGAGCAGCTCAGTGTCACACTGCCCCCTACTGGTATGGTTGTAGGACCTGCAGTCAGTTTGGCTTTGGGTTGAGCTGATGTTAAATAAAATAAAATAAAAATGTCAATTATCAAAATGTTCAGTTATTCTCCAGTCAGATTGAGTACAAATGTTCAAATGTCTCATCATAATATATGACAAAACTCAATAACTGAGTATGTCCAATGGGAATAAGTGTTATCTTAATTTAATGTCCCAAAGAAAACAAACAAACAAACAAAAATTTATGCTATTCTGTGATTAGCTCACCTAATGAAGCATAATTTAATTATAACATAGTAAGTTTAATTGTATTTCATAGAATTTGTGTTTTCTGTAGATGGGCGAGTTGCAACTGCTGAGTTTAAAAAGTCATTTTGGGAGGAACAAAAAAATCTAAGACGATTTTCTGCATATCAACTCTTATAATGTACAAATCTAGTTGACAAAGCTCATTTGGACTCACCTGTAACATTTAAAGAGACAGTACCACTGCACTTGGTCAAACTGAAGCTCTTCCTGACACCAGAGCACTGATATTCACCACTGTGATCGATTTGGATAGGTTGTAATGTGTAGCTTTTGTGCTGATCGGATTGAATAAATTGTTCTCCATTTCTTCTAATCTCATATTCCCAGTCGGTGTCTTTGCCTTCATTCATGTCACAAGTGAAGGTCACGCTCTCTCCAGGATGAAAAGTCGACCAGTTGGGGTCAATAGTCAGATTTGCACCTAAAACGCAGCACAACACATTTAGCACATTTATCATGCAGTTAATACAGACGTGCCTCATTCTGAGTTTATAAGTAAATATGAGGAATAAAAGAGAAAATACCTTCAGCATGTCCGCAGCAGAGGAGTGTATTCATCATTAAAATAAAACCTAAAACTTTTGTCATTATAAACGTTAAAAGTTCAGATAAACGAGCTCAGTGTTCCTGCTTAGCGTGCAGCTCTGACACTGACCACGTTCTATTCACATCACCAATATTTCCGATCAGTATGACATCGCTAGTTTCCTGTTCTGTGAGTTCATGGTCACTTTTTTTATCTTCATCTGAAAAACATCACAGCTAAAACTTAAGAACTACCACGAAAAATGTTGAAACTTCCCACACAATATTTTGACACTTAGTTTAACTTCCGTAAACTAAGGTGACTCACAAATACATAGGCCAGTTAAATGGTTTTAGGTAACCATTTGTTTAAAGGTAATGTTCAGTTTAGCTTAAAAGATTTATTTGCTCAAAAAACTAGATGAAAATATGTGCAAAACAAACAAAAAAATCTCAAAAACCTAATGTAAATAGGAGAGAACAAAGATAACACGTCTTAAAAATCATTACATTAGTGAGTCTTATAAAGAATTTTTATCATTAAATAAAAGATTAGTTTAAAAGTAAGTTAAAAAAAATAACTACAAAAGAAGATAAGTCAATGCACATACTGTCAAAAGTGAACATTTTGTTCATTTTTTTCATTTAATCTGCGTCGTTCAAACACAGGAAGTGACATCGCTGCACAACAAGCCTGACAGGAAGGATTTCTCATGCCGATTTCCAGGCCTGATAATGACTTTCTGTGGGTCGGAGGAATATTTTTTGCATTTTATTTTAACACAAGTTGCACTGAATTCATCAAAGCAACCTAAAAAAGGACTGTTTTTACTTTTTCATTTTAAAACCTCTGACGTCAATCTTTTTTTTGTTTCACCATGGAGAACTGACACTTCCTGTCCACCTAACAGAAGCCATTTTGAGGGAAACCTGTTAAATAAGGCTTTACGCTTTAGTGCAGAGCCTTTAACCAATTGTTTGACGTGTTATTTTAATAAATACAACATAAAATCATAATTTGTTGCACATGTTGTTAACCTCATTGTTCGTCTTGTTAATCTTTCTGCAGATTGTGGAATCAAATTTAATACCAGTAAACAATGAAAGTCCACATGTAGGATCATAATGTCCAATCATTTTCCACCAGTTTGAAAACAAAATATTTCATTCTTTCTGCTTTGAACTCGTAACAGACTGAATACTCGTGTCACGTCTTCTTAGACTGCAAACTTAAATACTGTTTTTTGTTAACACTGAACAAAACTTTAAAACAATCCAATCAACATCATTAATGTTTTACACACCATGCATTCATGAACCTTCACTCATTTTATTGGAAACAAGCACCGATATTCAAACTGTGATAGTCTTGTATTTACTACAAGCACAGCATAAATGCAAAAGCTACAAATTCAGCTGTCCAGGTCAGAAGGGAGTTTGTAATTTTCACCTTTAATTTCATTTCACAAGAATCTTACAACATTTCATGTTATGAATGTTCGACCTGTCCTATTTATGACATGGGGGAAAATGTAAAATTAGAGCACATTTGATTCTTGAAGAGATATTGCATAAATCATCGTAAAACTGCAGAAAAGTAATAATCATCATAACATATAATGGAAACATGGCAGCAGAGATATTCAGTGTAGTTTCTGATCGTAGAATAATCTGGAGGATCTGTTGCTGCTGAACTCCAATTTCCTGCTGAGAGAGAGAGAGAGAGAGAGAGAGAGAGGATATATTTAAAAAATTAACATGTGCTTCAATTTATCCAAATGAAACATTTATGTTACTGTTAGATGACATAAAAATGCAATACATATCAAATAAGACAAGAATTTTGACTTTGTAACTTAAAACCCTGGAATTGGGCCTCTATCTCTTTAAGAAGCTCCTGCTCTTTCTGAAACCCCGCCTCCAGGAAGTCATAACAACATCGCTCCTCTGTTAACCCTTTAAACAACGTTTTTATTAGCATTGAACTGAGAAGTAGCTCGCATAGTGAGCTCAGGAGACACCAATTCCAAAACAGCTAGTGCTTGCCAATTGCTGCAGGCTAGTCTGAAGGAGCCGAGTGGGGGGAGGGGGGCTCTGTGAGGCGGAGGCTCAGAAGCTGCACCTCTGAGGAGAAGCTTCGTCTCGAAGGCGGAGCTAAGTCCACCCAGGTGTTTTCCAAAGGTGAATGGTTGCCACGGGAGATTAAAGGATTTCTCAAAAATGCATGAAAGAATCAAGGCAACACTCCAAGTATGTTTTTTTAATGAAAAAATACCATACTAACATGATGTAAAGCTTACAAAAGTCGACTTTACATCATACTGCACCTTTAAAATCAGAATTGTGATCAATGTCAATCGGAAGGTGCTTGAGAATTACTAGGCAAGACAGTTTACCCTCCCAAAAGCTAAATAAATAAATGCATTCATAGATAAAATAATAATAATAATAATAATAATAATAATATCACTGACCTTCATGCTGAGCTTTTATGTCCTGGTCTCATGTTAACGTAAACAGAATCTTCCTCTGGATGATGATGACGACTCTCTGTTAAAATGGCGACATGGATAAAAATGTTAAAATTTAATTTAAAATCTACTGAATGTTTACTAATGGCTCCTCTTTGTGAAAAGTTCAGAGTATTTCTCAGCATTTCTGTTTCTGAAATATTTCCGCATGTTGAATGAGCCAGCTGTAATCTCCTTAAATAAGTCGGATGCTGCAGCTCTGCTGTAAAACATGAACTTCACCGTTTGCAGTGGCTCCACGTGGACGGACTGTCTCATACACAGAAGTGGTGCCTGCAGCGAACAAAAGCATTTCAAGATTAAAGTTCTGATCTGAAAGCAGTTATATTATTCATATGACTTTGCCGTCTTAATCTTTCTGTTGACTGTAATCGTTTGTAATTATGAACCATTTGCCCTGAACAAACTCATGGTAACGACATAACTGTATTTTATTATGTTGAGCAGCAGAGACATAACATTGGTGGATTAATTGTGACAAAAAGTTCAGCACAAAGTTCAATTATTTAACTCTGTTGTTTTGTAGGCTAGAAATAAAAAGCTCCATTTGGACTTTGAGTCTTTAAATATGTCTGTATTTTTGCTTTTATGAGGATGAATCAACAAAAAAAATGAAAACAAATTATTATTATAAACGATAAATACATTTATTTTGTGACCTACCATGCAGCAGAGAGCTGTAAACGTGACCTTCAGTCTGATCCGCTCCATGACTGACGGCAGAGCTAAAAATATTAAAGTGAATTAAATGTAACAACGAATGAAAGAATCAGAAGTTCATGTTTAAAATGAGAGGACAGATATTAGAAACTGACCTGAAGCAGAATAAATCTGTGGGAGATTGAAAGAGGCGTCAGCATCATGAACACCAGAATGAAATAGATGAAATGTATTTAAAAATTACAGATACATAATACATTTTGTTATTTAATAAAGTATCGTTGGTGAAGAAGCGATCCGATCCAGTGTGAGACAAATAAGCTCTCACCATTGGACCGTCTGTAGCGCCACAACAGGAGAAGGAGGATGATGAGGACTCCACTAATCAGTCCAACAATTAAGAGCACAGGAGATGAAGACACAGTTACTGGAAGACATAAGTTAGTTATCATTAGACCCAAAGACATGATTTCCTACAAAAAAAAATGTAAATGTGACATCAAGGTTGAAGACAGACATCCTCAGTCTCTGTATTGATTTTTTTCAAACAGCTAAATGGTTTTAATGGATAAAATGCAATAAGTGGTTTAGATCTGCAATTTAAAAGAAAAAGTCATGAAGCTTTAATGTAGGAATGCTCACCTGTAAACATCTATTAGACGTGACAATAATGACATCAGTAACTGTTTCAATTGCTCAAAATGTTAAAATGAGAAAATAAGCTCTGAAAGTCACTGCAAAGAGGAAACATTAGGAAGAAATTAAACGTCATTAGTGCTTTTGTAGCATTTATGTATTTTTTTTATTAAATCATTTGGATTGAAGATTAAACAGGGAAAAAAATAGACTATATTTCTGGACACTAACATGTATCCTGACATATTATGGTTTCTAATGATTCATTTTTAGTGAAGATGGATAAATTCAGGTTTTGTTATCCATATATTCCCATGATCCAGGTCAGAAACAAGCAGGAGGCGTTAACCAACACTATTAACTCATTACTTGGCTGGAATATTAATCAAACTCCATAAATTGTGTTTTTATTATTACAAAAATAATAAAAACACAATTTTTATTATTAAATGTTCTACTATAGCTACCAACACTTATTAGTACTTTCTGGGAGATGCTCATCTGGCACAAATAATCCTGACTCACCAGACACTGGGATCTTTTCACTCCACTTTGTAACAGAAAACCAGTCGTCTCTGTTTCTACACTGACACATGTACTCTTCAGTGCTGGACTCAGCGCACATCTGAGTCTGTGGGGGTCAAAGGGCACCCAAAGCTTAAATCTTATTGGTCAGTTTGCCTTTGTCTATTTGGCGGCTTTGCGCTTTTTCTGTAAGCTAAAAATGAATGAGCAGAGTTTGAACCTCCTGTAGTTCTAAGAGCGGTTTGGATCCCGGTTGAGCTTTTTACCGTGTTCGGTTCTGACGGGTCGCCGGTTATGAGCTTATTTGATGTTTCCCGAACCGGAGACTTAGTGGGCCACCCGTTAGCTGACATCTGCCGCTCTTCCCGAGCGTCACGCTACGACTGCGGGTTAAACAATTTAATCTAGCTGAAACGTTCCCCAAAAGAGTCAAAATTAAGCAAACACTGTTGCTTCACCTTCTCCTCCTTTGGACGTCTGACACCACCTGAACCTGGGAATCAACATCCTCCTCTTTCCGTGGATCACACAGGTAGGCTTCGCTTCCGTGTCTTTATTTGTATTTAGCATAACAAAAGGGTTCACTGCTTTAGTGGTTTAAGTTTGTGCGACGCGCACATGATGCGCATTGGAGAGATGTGCAGTGATAGTTTTACCTTCCAATCTGTCGGACTTGTTTATTTTTTTCCGACCAGCAGAAGTCTTTGCACAATTTTAATAGTAAAGAGGGTTGGATAATAAAAATATACAATAACGTTCCTTCTTTTATTTAAAGGAAAATCTCACAGTGTGTACAGCATCTATAATAATCCATACTGCCAGTCACTTGTGGGAGATTTGGAATCTCACAGAAAAGCTAAAAAAGGGAATCAAACTTAAAACTCTGAACTAAGAACTTCTGATCACATAATAGCAATTAACCACAGCTGCCATTGTAAATTATTACTTATAACTATTGTCAGTAGTCCCCAACATTAATGTGATTAGACTGCATGTAATCATATGTATTACTGTTACAAGGCTGAGCCAAGAAAATGTATGTCTGTATCAAACAAGTAGCCCTTTGTGTTACTCTGTACCGGTGAAGAAGCTCCCAGTCTCAAAAAGGTTGGTGACCCCTGCTTTACAGTAAATAAAGATATATTCACTTAGTGGAAAAAAAATAAATAAATAAACGTTGAAAGCATTTCTTGAAGAAAAATATTTTCATTTGCGATTGAAGTGCACAGGCAAAATTTCATCAAGAATAAATATTGCGTGTTTTTTTTCCCATTAATAGAAATTGTACATACACTGTAAGACGTCTTAGTCAACACCGTTAACTTATTACTTGGGTGGAATATTTATCAGAATCAGTAAAATGCAATTTGCATGATTACAAAACCAGATTTCCAATGTTCTACACCAACACACACAAATTATTACTTTCAGGGAGACGCTCTGCTAACTTTTTGGCTCTGCCTGATTTGGTTGTGTTGGGCTGGCAATGATAACGAAACATCCTGTCACCTGACACAGACACTGGGATCTCTTCACTCCAGTTTGTCACAGAATGCCAGTCGTCTCTTCGTCTACACTGACACATGTAGTCTCCACTGCTGAACTCAGAAACACCGACAGTCCAGACTTTATCATTTCTTCTGGCTACAGTTCTCCCATCTCTCCTCCATTCACATGTCCACTCAGTGGTTTCTCCTCCCTGGACCTCACATGTCAGAGTGATCATCTCACCACTGAACATCTGAGGCCAGTTTGGTCGTCGAGTCACAACAACCTTGTTTGAAACTGTTTACATTAAATATGGGCAGTTCCTAAATATAAAATAAAATAAAAAAAAAGAAACTCACGGGTTTCCTCTAAAATGTAAACAATCAGCAGCTACATTTAAAAATAAATAAATAAATAAAAATACTTACATCTTATTGTGATGATGACATCGTCACTTACAACACTGTGAAAGTTTGTATTTCCTCTCACTCCCACACATCGGTAGATTCCCCCTTGTTTTACATTAATATCTCTGTTTTCTTCATCAGTGAGTTGAACTTCAGGTGTGTTTATGGTCTTTCTGGACCATCTGTATTTCCATCCAGCAGAGGGCTCCACTGAGCAGCTCAGTGTCACACTGCCCCCTACTGGTATGGTTGTTGAACCTGCTGTCAGTTTGGCTTTGGGTTGAGCTGATGTTAAATAAAATAAAATAAAAACGTCAATTATCAACATGTTCAGTTATTCTCCAGTCAGATTGAGTACAAATATTCAAATGTCTCATCATAATATATGACAAAACTCAAAAACTGAGTCTGTCCTATGGGAATAAAGTGTTATCTTAATTTAATGTCCCAAAGAAAACAAACAAAAAAAACCTACAATTTATGCTATTCTGTGATTAGCTCACCTAATGAAGCATAATTTTATTATAACACAGTAAGTTTAATTGTATTGCATAGAATTTGTGTTTTCTGTAGATGGGCGGGTTGCAACTGCTGAGTTTAAAAAGTCATTTTGGGAGGAACAAAAAAAAAGCTTAGATGATTTTCTGCATATAGATTTAACTTACAGAGGAGTAAACATGTTAATTGGCTTCACAACTCTTATAATGTACTAATCTAGTTGACAAAGCTCATTTGGACTCACCTGTAACAGTTAAAGAGACAGTACCACTGCACTTGGTCAAACTGATTCTCTTCCTGACACCACAGCACTGATATTCACCACTATGAGCTGTTTTGATAGGTTGTAACGTGTAGCTTTTGTGCTGACCGGATTGCATAAATTGTTCTCCATTTCTTCTAATCTTATATTCTCAGTCGGTGTCTTTGCCTTCATTCATGTCACAAATGAACGTCACGCTCTCTCCAGGATGAAAAGTCGACCAGTTGGGATCAATAGTCAGCACAGCAACTAAAACACAGCACAACACATTTAGCACATTGATGTACGTTTATAATACATTTTCACACATCAAATCAAGAAAAGAACACATATGCATATCTTTCTGTGTGAATAAATAAAAGAACAATAAAATCAAGATACCTTTAGCATGTCCAGAGCAGAGGAGAGCATTCAGACCTAAAATAACAGCTAAAACCTTTGTCATCTTCAACAAAAACAACGTTCAGATAAATGAACAAAGTGCGTCTCACGCTCACATCCAGCACTGAAGCTTGACAAGCACATCCTCTTCTTTACAAGTACATCTTATCTGTTTCCCATCAGAATGACATCAGAGGTTTCAGCTAGTTTCTCTTCATCCGAGACAAAAACATCACACCTAAAATATCTGTGAGAAAAAAAAAAGTCAAGCTACTCTGCCTCCTCCCAGCAGTCCTACTGCCATATTTGTCACAACAATGAAAATTCAAAGTTCAAACATAATTAAAGCCAAAAACGTTTAATTAAACATTAACTGTCCCAACCTCACAAGAGCTCCGTCTTTCAGCTAAATCAACAGACGTCCTTCATATCGAGACATTCGTTCCGGTTTCATATAAGCATTAATAAGTTTTGGCGTGTCCTTTTTTCTACACGATGAGCTCATTCTCGAGTGCTGTGACATTTCCCACTTCTCCATTTTAGCTTGACCAAAGAACAT